TCGTACAACTCATGCTTTCAAATCAGATTCTCACCGCCTTATTTAATTAATTAATTTATTTATTTATTTAATTACTTTTATTTATATATATATAGTTCTTAGTTTTATATATAGATACTTGGTTTGTCTAATTATTCTTTTATTTATTTATTTTTTTCTTCTTCTTTCCTTTTCCAACACTTCACACTCTTGTATTTGTCGAAATAACGAAAAAATTGGAATAAAAAATGAAAAAGTTATATGAATCGTAACGATTGACTGGAAAAATTGTATTGGATGATGATACATGAAACATAACTGTTCTACAATCAATATATCCAAAGATCTATATAGATCATTAACAATCAATCTAATAATCATATATATATATATATATATATATATAAAAAAACAAAAATGTGCAGAGTAGCCTGCGACGAGTGGGACAACAAAAAGAAAATGAATGAATAATACAACCATAAGGGGGAGAAGGGGATACCACCTACAACTGTGCGAAAACTTTTCTTTCTTTTTAAGAAGACATTAATAAAAAATACTGTTGTTTGTTTGTCGCGTATTGTAAAAATTAATATAAAATAAAATAAAATAAAACCAAAAAAAAAAAGAAAGAAAAATTAGGAATTGTAAAAGGAACATATGAAGCGTATCCTATAATACAATCCATTTCGATTTCTTATGTATACACACACCACACTCTCTCTCACTCTTCTCTCACACACACACACACACACACATACTTATATATGGTATTTCAGAAAACGAAATACATCACATATTGGGAATAAAAAGTTATATTGTGTGATATTAATGGGATGTATTTATGTATGTATATATCTATGTATGTAATGCTATTATGAGATTGCTTGAACACAACAATAACTCTCTCTCTCTTTATCCTGTACCATTGTTGTGTACTACCACCATTTCTGATCACAGAGTTATTATAATATATATAGATAGGATTTTCTATAACACTTTTTTTTCTCTGCGATGTTAAAAACTTGAATATAATAACCCCCATTTATCATCAAATCATGTTGGTTGAAGAACTATAGATATTATCTATGATTTATGATTTCATCGGTACAAAATATCATTCATTGGTAGATAGAGATAGATACGAGAAAAATATTGTTGGAAATTAATTGTGTTGATGGAAATGTTAATAATAAAATTAAAAAAAAAAAAAAGACAAAAAAAAAACAAAGAGAGAAAGAAAGAAAGACAGTGAAGAGCAACAACAGTTGTACAACTCAATAATATAATAATCTTGTAATATGATTTCTAATAAACGTAAAAATAATAATAATATATTCCAAGTCGACCAATCACTTCTGATTTTTGCATTGTTTCAATGAGGCTGCCACGTGGTCCGGTTTCTCTCCTCTTGCAAAACGTTCCCACATTAGTGAATATAACATTTCCATACCATTGGCATATGCTCGACAATCGAATAAAGGACTTTCTGAACGTGCCTGCCATACTTTTGCACGTGTTGCTTTCAAGCTAAAAATATAAATACAATATTATTATTTTTATAATATATATAAATATATATGTATCCTTATTATTTATGATCAAAAGTTCCTACATAATTTGAAATATTAATTACTATTTTTTTCTTTTTACATTAATCTTTTTCTAGAAATTTTGTTAGAATCTAAAAAAATATATTTTAATTTATAAAAAAAAAAAATATATATATATATATATAACTTTTACTTTTTATTCAAATATTTCATTCTACTTTGTTCTTCTACGAGTTCTGTAATTTTCTTTTTTTTTGCAAAAAGAATCAACAATTTATTGGATTCGTATTAATGTGTTTAACCAATTTTAACAACATAACTTTGTTCGAAATTGATTTTGAAAATCACCTAGGAACTTTTAAATCTTTTCCTATACGTATATGAATATGTATATTATATTATGTGCATACTATTCTCGATCGGTTCCCAATCGTATAGCAATTTCTTGATATTCCTGTCTCGTCCTAGCAACTAATTCAGGACAACCAAGTGTGTTCAATTGGCTAGCAGCAACACGAGATGCCAAAGTTTCTCCGGGTAACGTAACAACTGGTGTACCAGTCCAAAGTACATCCATGCTTGTTGTGTGTCCATTGCATAATGGTGTATCTAAGCAGACGTCGGCTAATTGACCACGTCTAACGTGTTCCTCTTTAGCAGCAACATTACTGAATAGTATCCTACCAGGTGCAAGACCTAGTTGTTGTGCTGTAGCTTGAAGATTGGGTTCGCCAACAGCTGGGAATCTTAAAAGCCAGAGTACTGAATTTGGCACGTTCTTTAAGATCTATAATTTAAAAGAAAAATAATAATTATATAACCACATATATATCATTTTTATTGATTTCAAAAATTAATTAACTCCTTACGACCACATTTTTTTGGGGGATTATATTGTTTTGTTAATATAAAATATGTCAGTCATAAAAAAAGTTTATTGAGTTATCATTTGTTTGATTTTGAAATTTTCCACTAAATTAACACTATATTATTTATTGTAGTACTATTATACTATATTAAGTATAGCTTAGTTTTAATATTAAAAAAAATATATATATATATAATTTCAAGGTTATATGACGTCATAGAGAGTTAATTAATTATCTTTTTTTTCTTTGATGTTGATACTCACGTGTGCCCACATGTGAAGTGTAAGAGGATCGATCTTATACAATTGATTAAAATTACAATAAACAACAGCGTCTTCGGGTAAACCGTATTGTTGTCTCGTCGTAATAACAATATTCTGAGGCACTTCCTCTCCCGTAGCAGTTTTATTATTAACTTGATTCGTAGCCATACCGTTCTGTACTACAACACCATTGACAGACATTTGGCATTGACCAGAAGCAATCATTGTTTCAATCGGTGTAGTTGTTGGTAATTCGGCAACTTTCAATGAAATTTCGACCGGTTGATTTTTCGAATCTGGCACTACAACCTCACGTATTTCCTTTATCAATGTATTTTCTATCATCGGTGATAAATCGGTAGCATTTATAACAGCAACGTTATCGGCTACTTTGCCTTTGGGATTTAATTTGTCCGTTAATATGAGACGTTCTTTAAGATGTGGGAACATTTGTCTGTAAAATAACAAAACAAAAGATGATAAATTATATTATTTTATGTCAATTATTAATTATTATTTTATATACATAAACTATAGAAATTATTAAATCAATATATAATTGGGAATTTGATAATAACTCACTTGTGATCTCCAATGAAGTATGTGTGTGGCATGTAAGCAAGTTTTTCGCTGTATTGACTAGCAAGTTCGAGGGGAGAGGTAACTTCATCAGTGATTAAATAATCCATAAAACTGGCACCGGAAGTACCAGGATAACCAAGCCACATAACTTGAATTGGTGCTGGTCTTAATGCAAAGATCTCATTTCTAGCACCTTTCGTATAACCATTCATGTTAACGAGTATATGAATACCATCGGCATTTATACGATCAGCTGCTTTTCCATTGCACGGTGTTTGAGATAGATCAACAAAGTGTTCGGATTCTCTGGCGATTTTAGCACGGAAAGTTGTACCGTCGTCCGAACTCAAAGCATAACAAAAAACTTCAACGAGTTCACGATTGTGGAGGCCAGGAATTGATTGCATTAAATGACTCGTCGGATGATTTCCAAAATCGGAGGAGACGTAACCAATTTTTAAACGACCACTTGATATTTCTCGTGGATATTTAAATGGTTGTTTATGAAGAACGTGAATCTGTAATAATAATTTTACAAATAATTCAAATCAATAAGATATATTATGTAAGAACAATATGTATGTGGGTGGGTGTGTGGGTATGAATAGATAAATTGGAACACTTAAATATTTCTATTATTGATGTTCATGAGAGGAAAACAGAAACTACGGGACAAAAGTTTATAGATTTTAAGATCTCAACTCTTATATAACTCATTGATAATTTATTAATTACAAAATAAATATAATACTATACCTTTTCAATGCAGAGATTAGCATGCCTAGCAGCAATAGCTTTTCGAAAATCATGAGATAATGGGTAAAGCATTGAATGATGAGGATGTACGCTAGGTAACCTGTTCTTGTCAAGTTGTTCGGCAACGATAGATACTAGTTTTTTCATCCTAGCCTCGTAATCGGTCCAATCGCATACAATTTGAAGACAATGAGCCAAGTTACAATAAGCGTCAGGAAAATCTGGTTTTAGTTTCAATGCAGTCCTGTAAGACTGAATGGCTTCAGGAATATTTCCGGAATCCTTGTGAATAGAAGCCAAGTTGGAATGAGCATCGGCAAAAGCAGGATTGATTTGTATGGCTCTTGTATAACATTGAAGAGCCCCTTGGATATCTTGCATCTCTTTAAGGGTATTACCCATATTCGAATAAGCATCTGCAAATGTTGGCTGTATGCGTATCGCTTCCTTGTAATGCATTAAAGCTTCATTTAACTTTCCTTGTTGCTGCAAAACTGATGCAAGGTTGCTATGCGCGGCTGCAAACTCTGGAAATACTTCGAGAGCTTTCAAATAAAGTCGTGTTGCTTCTTCTATGTATCCTTGCTCGCGTTTTATGTTGGCCTATATGTATATATATACACACATTGTGTAATAAAACAAAAAGTAATTAATAACAAATATAAATTATATATTACCGATATTAAATAAACAAGAAAGTTTGAGTCATAAATGATTACACAAACATAAGAACACCACCAGTACACAAACTTTCTTGATTACTTTAATATATACTATTAATTTATCTGTCCATTGCTAACGATATATGTATTTTGCAAGTCCAAAATCAAATACTTTATTTATAGTTTAAATATTAAAAAAGTTTCTCAGCAAAATTATCAATCATTCATATTCTTCTTCTTTACCAAACCCCCTCCTCCTCCTCCTCCTCCCATATGTATATCTTTTAAAGTCTTAAATAACTTTGGACCATTTTCATATTTTTTTTTTTTACCAAGGACAACGTATTCATAAACTTCGGAATATGAATACTAACCAAATTATTGAGAGAATCGGCGTGAGTTGGGCAAAGTCGGAGGGCGGTATTGTAACATTCTTCTGCTTCGACCACTTGCCCCTTCTCCTTAAGAGCGTTCGCCAAATTGCAATAGGCATCTGGAAAGTTTGGCTGTAGCTCAATAGCACGGCGATAAGTGTCAATCGCAAGATCAATGAGACTGCAATCAATCAATAAATAATCTTATGTTAAAAATCATCAACTCCGTTCATTTTGTTCTTTTTATTCTCTCGCACACACAATCAAGTTATTATATAATTAATAAATCAATTGAGCCGTTTATTTTGAAAGTGGCATAAAAGTAACTTTTTCAAAAAAAAAACCTAGTTAATAGCAACACTAATTACAACTGAACGGTGTTTTTTCATTTTCAATTAAAAAAAAAAAAAAAAAAGTGACTTATGCCGCTTTCAAAATAAACGGCTCAATTATTGATTTGATACAAATATTATTACGATTTTTTAAATATCGTAATTATTATTATTAAAACAATCAAACAATGAAAACAATAATATAAATCAATGGTAAAGAATTAATTATAAAGGTAACTTAAAGAAAAATCAAAATTCTTCATTCATATATTTAAAAAATGAACAAATATGCACATACCCTTGTTCATAATAAACGCAGGCCAAGTTTCCATGTACGACTGCATTATTCGGACTGAGATTCAACGCACGTAAATAGGCAGCGACAGCTCTGGAAAAAAAGAAAAGAAAAGATATTGAAGGAGAACACTCTTTTTTAACAATCGTATGAGAATAAAAAATAATGTTGTAACCTCGAATAAATCTCACTTACCATCATTCTTGAGAAAAACAAAATATAAGAAATGTAAAAAAGGTAAACTAAAAAATAAAAATCTTTTTCATAATAATGAAAAAGAAATGTCTAATCTAATTTAGCAGGAGAGTAAGTTCTAAGGAAGAGAACACACACACACGATTAGAAAACACGTGTGGTCAAACCTAAAAACGAGATTTACTAAACCTTAACGTTCTTAATATAATCTTCTTCTATATAATAATAATAAGAAGAAGACAAAAAATAGAAGATTTAATATACATATATATATGTAAAAATAAATAAACCTTTTAACCCAATGTTTAATCCACGAAGTACATCCAGTAACTTGATTATTAGAATGTGATAAACTTCTTTCTAATCTCCTTACAGGAAAAAATGATGGAATCGAAGTAGAAGGCGATATCACCGTGTAAACTACAACGCACTGGCAGTCCATTCCTTTTCCATGATGACGTACGACAAGGAACGTAGTTGCTAAGAGAATGCTTCACATCCTTCTGAAAACCTTCGTCTCGTCTCTTCTCTTCTCTTCTCTTCTCTTAGCAAAGAATGTGTATATGTGTATATGTGTCGTGGTTAGGTCGGGTATATGTGTACGCGTGCGCATACACACGTATATATGTAAAATGTATATATATATCCTCACTGTGTGTATGTATGTATGTATACTTGTATGTTATATATGTATATATCTGTGTATATATTTTTAGTATGTATTTGTTAGTGAGTATGTGTATTTTTTTCAAGCTCACGCAGACTCATTGAAGTAAACCGTGTTTTTGGCAAATAGTATATATAGTGTGCTTGGAAACAAGGTGAGGGAAGGAAGGAAGGAATGAAAGGAAGGAAAAGCAGAGTAAAGTAGAGAACAGAGGAGAGAAGAGAGTACAGTAGAAGACTAGAGAGCAGAACTGTAGCGAAGGGTGTATCTTGGGGGCGGAGCAAATTCTCTCGGAATCGATAGCTGCCCTCGAGGATTCTTCTCTATCCCTGTGCGTAACTTCGAGGGTAGCTTTACCAAGGTTTAATACACGCTCACATATCAAGTAATATACACTACGTAAATTATTAATATATATATATGTGTGTGTGTAGAAATATGTGTTGTGTTGAGTATCGTCCGATTTAGTTATAAGATATATAGATATACTTTATACCACATATAAAGTTTTATTTATACGTATGTATGTATATAGGGGAAGAAAAAAAAGTTACGTATGTTAAACTACATTATTCAATAACAAGCTATTATATTATGGTGTTGTTGTTGTTTTTGTCCTTGTATGTAAAAATGATATCGATAAAAATGTATATATAATATATATATGCTTTGATATATAATATTTTGTATTATTATTATTATTATTATTATTTAAAAATTCAAATTGAAGGAAATTGTTTATTAGAGTAATTTTTTTTTTTTAATTATGATCATTTTAATATGCAAGTTTTTTTTAATTTATTTTCATTTCAAAAAAGGAATCTAATCTTTTATAGATTTTTTCATATGATTTCGCGCAGTTTGATTAATTTATTATATTTAATTCGCGATTGAAAATTAGAATAATATTCTTTTATATTCATTTTTATTATTGATTATATTTTTTTTGAAAGGGGAGGGGGGAATTACATATACATATGTGTTTTGTGTATGGCAGATAGAAGAAGAAAAAATATCCCGAATATTCTCGGGACAATGAACTTACAAGGCTATCACGTAATATCGATCGATTTTCACGTATTTACACGACGAGTCATGCGCTCTTCTGCTTTCGGAACTCCAAATAGTGCAAAACAAGAAAATTTATCTTCTATTTCACCTCCTCCCTAATCTCCCACCCCCACCCCGCTTCCCAAACTTTTATTCCCTCGATATTGCTTTTCCTTTGTTCTTTATTTGATTTGATTTTCTTCGAAAATTTTCTCATCGTAAGGAAATATCAACACACAAAAAGAAAGTATAAAAAGCTTAACTTACTGGTTTAAAGAAAAAAAAAAAGAAAAAAGAGAATAAAGGGGATAAAAAATTGTATGGCTCCTTACTCCCTTTAGACGTCATAAATCACATCAAAGGAATAACTACGGTAACCAAATTTAATTTAGCACGAACTTTAAATTCACCGCTTATGGGATTAAAGCGATGACAGATCAAATCGTGCATACATATATATATATGTATAAAAAAAAATAATACTATAAAAATACTTTTCTCTAGGAGATTAGAAAACCTGAAAAACGCTGTGAGTTTGGAATTCACTATAATCCAACTCATCGTCCAACTAAACACACATTTCCCTCTCTTACCATAAAAATTTTCCTTTTCAAAGTTGCGAGAATTAAAATCGAAAATTGTAATACCCTTAAAAGACATAGTAACATGAATAAAATATGAGAGAGAAGGAAAAAAGAAAACAACCTAGACCAATAAAAATAACTTCAACACTATAATCCAATCCGTACGGGGAATACCAGTAATAAAACTAACCAGAAAGAAGAAACCCCCTCGATTACGAATGGAAAATAATGTTTACAATTTTAATCGTATTATCCTTGATGCATCTTAGAAGAGAAAAAGAGAAGAAAAAAATAGGGAATAAATGTTATCCTTACCTGTCGAATATACGTGCCTCCTTGAGTACATTTCCTAAATTGATGTAAGCATCCAAAAAGTTAGGATCCAATGCAACAGCCTTTTCAAAATGATGAATGGCCAACCATATTTCTCCTTGTGCATTGAAAACGCAACCGAGGTTGCTCCATGCGACTGCAAAATCTGGTCTTGTCTCGATCGCCTTCAGATAGCATGCCTAAAGATAAACCGACGAAGAAAAGAAAGATAAAAATTAATTATAATTTTTGTTTGTTCGCTTACTCGAATGTGACGCGCGCCGCGCGCATTGCCCGACCTCCCATCGCCGCGCTGCAGCTTATTGGTTGACCTTCCTTGAAAGAAAGCTTTTGTTGTTGTTGTTGAAGAAGAAGAAACTTTTTCTATGGATTTTTATTGCCTCTGTATTTTTTTTTTATCTCTTTATCTCTCTCTCTTTCTTTCTCTTTAAGTTTGGTTTTTTTTTAGAATTTCACAGATGACATTCTCATAATATTCTCATATAATTATTTTCTATTTTTATTTCTCTCTTTTTCTCTCTCCCTCTTTTTCTTTTTTTTTTTCTTTTGTTTTCTTTTTTATTTTGAATATTCGAAAAAGTGTTTACGCGAATTTCAATAGCCAGTAATTATTTAAATTCAACATTTCAAAAAGATTTTCTTCTAACCAATATGGCGGAGAATACCACTACCACCAATATGGCCGAATTTTACTAGGAATTTATAAATGTGAATTTATAGATATTTCTCTTAATTTCATTATTTATATTAAAAATATATAAACAATACGTTGAAATAACGTATTTGAAGTTTAACTAAGAATTTAAACTCATATATTTTCTTCAATTTTTAACAAATTTCTAAATGGATTGTTAAGCATGAGTTAGAGAGAAAAAGAGAGAATGAGAAAGAGAAAGAGAGAGAAGGAGAGAGAGAGAGAGAGAAAGAGAGAGAGAGAGAAAAAAGAGAGACATATATATTATACAGAGGCAAATTTTCACTAGATATCAAAGTAACGACATATTGCAGTATTGATACTGGTGAAGGAAACTGATATGAATTAGTTAGGAAATTAGGGTAACGGAAGCGCGCTAAGAGTGTCGTCGTTGATGACGAAAGACGCTATTTTAAATCTCGTGTTTGACGATTCTCCGAAATGCGTCCGGTGGAACACGTCGAACACGTTTAAAACGCCGTTCGCCATTATACTTTTCTCCTTTATCGGATTTCCATTCACACTCCGCGCATTTGAAGAACATTCGCCGAAAAATTCTAAAAATATATTATCTATTAGTCATTCATACTTGTGCTGCCAAAATTCGAATCCTCGAGAGAAAAAAGAAATGTGATATATATATATACATAATATATAATATATATATATAAATATATGTATATATATGTGTATATATATATATCATGTTTATTAAGAACACAATAATAAATAAATAAACTTTTTAGTGTCCTTATTTTATATTCCTTTTCTCCTCGAACGAAAACGAAGAAGACAATAAATGACGACACTCTTAAGGGACAAGCATGGATAAAAAAATCGCGCGTGCCGAGAGGCGGGCTGCATCTCATTTTTAAAAAACAGTGTAATCCGTACCTAAACAATAAGTAAAAGGGCATTTACAGTCGGCCGATCCCTCGAGGATACGGTGGAGTTCTCTGAAGTGGATATATAATATGTATGTTGGTATATGTATACACAATAAATTTGAACAAATTCTGATCAATTTTCTTAACATATAAATAATACAAAAATAACGTATTAATATTAAACAACTGATTCCCCCGTTATACTTTATCTTTTATTCTTATTTCCTTGCAATGACTTACAACATATTTGTAAGAAAAAATCAAAACTTTCAAAAAAGAAAAAGAAAAAAAAAGAATATATTAATAAATAAAAAAAAAAGATAAGAATATGATCAATATTGGGAATTTTTATTTTTCAAGGAATAAAATGGTCAAGGGGTAAAATGTATGGGTATACATTTGTAATAAATAGGAAATAAATGAGGAGGTAGAGATCGGCCTTGGGAATTACTTTACCTGCAGAGTACCCTTCGGTAGGTTGATGGTAGGTACGGCTCGCAAGCTCTCATATTAAACTTAGACACCGAGAGACAGTGTGTTACTGAATAACCAGATTCAGATTCACCCTTTGACGAAGGAACTGGTGGAAACTGACCAATCACATAGCTCCGACTTCCCATCCTAGAGTCGATCATCCCATCCACAACAATAAGACAGCTGCGTTAATGTCTCTTCACTTGATACTCTTCGCCTCAATTTTTGTCTTTTTTTTTTAATTTAATTTTTTTTATACGTATATTATATATATATATATTTTTTTTTCTTTTCATTAAAGATGTTTTTATAAATGTGTCCATGCTTCACTAAGCACGTCAATCCACTTTATATTAATATAAATATNTATGTATATATATATACACATATATGTATACGTATATATATATATATACATATATATATATTTTATTTTTTGAAATAAAACCCGCCATAAAAATCAACAAAATATTAAATGATGTAATTTAATGAATGACATTGTGAAAATAAATCAAATAAAAGTTAAGGAAAACTGAGATAGATATATATATATACATATACATTTTGGTCAGTGTACGATGAACTGTCCAGGCGGCTGAACAAGCTAAGCGAGATATCAACGAGCTAACAAACGAGATCTTAGGAATGGTAGACTAATTCTCTAACGGAAAGCTTTCCTCGTTGTCCAAATAGTTTTTAAATCCGATTAATCGTGTATCTATGCGTCGATATCTCTTAACCAAAAACGAAAAGAGAAATAAGAATGAAATATAATATTAATACTTTCTCTCTTTCTTTCTTTCTTTCTTTCATTCATTCTATACGTATACATTTAAGTTTTCTGTAAGAAGTGAAAAGAGATTAAGTTATCTGTAAAAAAAAAAAAGGTACGGATACATACACAATTATATCGGCTTTCGCTGCGCCGCGCTGCAAAACATAGATTACCTGACCGATTACGCTATCATACTCTTTTGAGAACAATTAAAAATAACTCACAAAAGTCAGCTGACTTTTACGAGTTTTTATTTGCAACATTTTTCTTTGCGTACTACTCCCTTTTCTCTATTTTAATTTTTGTTCGCAAATGTTTATTGAGTTATTTGAAAAAAAAAAAAATATAAAAATGGAAGATTTATAATTTTATTCACATAAGTATGCAACCAAATAGTCAGGTAATCTCGCGCTCACATTATTGTACACACTAAAAATTCTACTGATCTCGTTGAGTAGTGGGAACAGGATTGCATATGCCCACAGGTGTGTACAATCTGTATGCCTATAGTAAAAAAATATTCTGAGGAAGATACGTTTTGAGTAGAAAAGTCAACTTAATTACTAAATTCGCGCGCTAGCAAAACTTATCAATTTATTATTATTGTAATATATTTATAGTGAAGAAAATATTTTAATTATTATATATCATATTTCTTTTTGTTAACCCGAGATATGCGATTGATACTTATTACAATTTCAGATAAGTTCTGCTATAAAATACATAATTTTGCTGTAACGCTATTTGACAAGAAAACATTTCAATCAACATTACATAAAAGCGTTATTGCAAAATACGCAATGCCAAAGTTGGATCCCTTTAGATGTTTGCTTTATACTTTTAGGATTCAAAACACATTTTGCAAAACACATTCGATGTTGTTTATAGTATTAACTTTTCTAACTATATTTTTTTCTCATATCATATTAATATTTGTCTACAAATTGCAACATCGAATGCGTTATAATATTGTAAGATACCTATGTGTGGGGAAAAAAATTTTGCAAGCGATCTGACATTAGATATTGCATATTAAAATGTTATTAAAATTTTCAGAAACAATTAAAATGCCAGATCACCGCGCATCGCGCGTCATAAATTGCATGACAAAGAAAAGAAAGCTTTCCGCACTGAAACGCGAAAAAGATTTCGCTCTAACGCATTCCAAAGAATCACATTTTTTATGCTCGTGCACACGTAAACAATACACACTTGAGTATCTTCTCTGAGATACCATTGAAATTGGTCACGATGAATTATCGTTGAATATACATTTTTATGCATCGATACCAATGTGTATGAATACATGTGCAAAACATTATTTTATTTCTAATACAATTATGGTTGATAAACCTACCTTGGCTTCATCAAGTCTTGCTAATGCTTTCAAAAGATTACCGAGATCACTCCTCACACAATAAAGATCCTGTAACATAGAAAGTAATATACATATATACATTAACTTTCTAAAGTATAACCATAGAATAAAACATAAAACGTAGAAGATAAAGATGTCCCAATTTTGTCTATACTTAAATATGCATAAAAAAAACACTTTGTATATACTAAATATTCTAAAATATAAAATATAATGTAAAATATAAAGATGTCCCAATTTTGTCTATACTTAAATATGCATAAAAAAACACTTTGTATATACTAAATATTATAAAATGTAAAGTATTCTTACAGGGTTGTATTGCAGAGCAGTAATATATGCTTGTACAGCTTGCTCCATGTCTCCTGCAGCAACTAAAGCAGCTGCTAAGTTGATATATCCATCGATGAAATCAGGTTTAAGTCTGACCGCATGTCGATAATTTTCCAAGGCTTCTGGAAGTTGTCCACGTTCTTTGAAAACATTTCCTAAATTGCTATAAGCTTCTGCCAACAATGGATTTTGTTTAATTGCCAAGCTACTATAATGCGCAGACCTGTAATAGATATAAAAAGAAATAATGAAATATAGTATCTACGCATAAATAAATAGGCTTTAATGAGTCATAATTAAAACAATATTTACTTTTCCAATCGTCTGCACTGAAAGTGGATTGAAGAAAGCAGCAACAATACTCCTGTGTTGTTAGTTTCTTGTCGCCAGAGTTGCATGCAATGTCTTTCTGCATTTTCATAATCACCGGCTTGATACTCCCTATGTGCGAGCTCCAATAACCCTGAGGTCATAATGAAAAAATATAATTATTAATAAAAATAATTTATATATATATATATATATATATATATATATATAAAAACAAAGATTTTTTTATATAATTTTTAAGAATGAGCAACAGAGATGTATATAATATCAGATATAAATATATTTTGTAAGCTCGAAACCCCACGCGGCGTAAGTTTAATTAAACGAGTCAAAAATATTTGAATTGCAAAGATGGCGCCATAGGTCTATCGATTTTCTTCACAGATATACAAAGCCCACGTTTCTAAAAACGTATGTGTACACATACATTCATCGTACTTGTATCTAGGAAAACTTAAATCTGATTTAAATAATAAAAAAAGAGAAAAAAATAATGAAAAATACGAACAATATGAATCAACGGCAACACTGATCGTTTGATTATCGGTCAATGAGATCAATTCTTTTCCCTGAGAATCTTGCGACACAACGAGAAGATTTTGTCCATTTTGCCAATCGGTAATATCTTCGGAAATCTCAGCGGTGGTCCCGTTCAAAATGTTCGAACCTATGCACGACGGCCCGGTTTCCTTTTTTTCGGCTACACGAACGACACTCATTTTCGAGCTTTCACGCGTAAAAGATTGCGCACAACACTTTTCTATCTCGCCGATGATATGGCGGCAATTGCGTCCCGCGCGTAAAAATTACAAAAGAAAAATGAACCAAAAAAAAGAGAGAGAGAGAGAGAGAAAAAAAGAAGAAAAACGTTGAGCGGCGTAGTAATATCGAAAAGGAAAAAACAATTCAAAAAAAAACAAGAAAACACGATTTCTTATCTTTATTACTGTAGTAATATTTTCGAGCGTATAGCTCGAAAACAAGAAAAAAAAATAACGCGAAATAAATGCGCACAACGAGAGACACGCGTATTTTAGTAAAACATAAGAAGTTCACGGGGTTTTTTTTGTTTTTCCCTCCTTTCTTTTGTACATATATCGCGGAGTAACACACGACGCGACGATGATGATCATAAAGTAAACTCTCGTTGCTGCTTCTGTATTGCTGAAAGCGTTCGACGAACGGAGGCCCGTGACTTTACCCCGTCTAGGTAGGTTATCCCCTCCCCCAAGCGAAACAAGAACGAACGAACAGTCGATTGGTCGATATAGCAGAGGGGAACCAAGAGAGGGGGGACGAATGGATACAACATGGCGGATGAAACGCACTGCTCGAAAGAGCACCCGGTGGTAAAATAAGGGGGGGAAAGGGGGCATGCAGCGACGTATATATATTGTTAAGTACCCTACCGAATTTTTTCGTCAATATTACATATATATTTATATAGACAAAAGAAGAAAAAGAAATAAGTTCTTTTTTCCCTTTCAAATGCAGATATTAAATGTAAGAATGAAATTAGTTATAGGACAATTGCTTCTCTCACCTATAGGTTGTTCTATATTTACTACTTCCGAAAAATAGATGTTAGTCGGTTGAGGCCACATCATGCTATGGTGCTTTCTAATCAACTGCTATTACTGTAAATGTGTTTCTCTTTTGGAACTTATATTAGAACTAACTCGTTGTTATTCTCGAAAAATGTTTTTCTTAGTAGATAATATATATGACATATTAATATTATCTCTCTTCCCAATTATGTTGACTATACTATTTATATAAACTTTTAATGTGACCTTTAAAAGTAGAAAGTGAAAACAACAATCTACGGATTCTTTCCTCTTTCGTGATTAATCTTAAATTTTCGTTTTACAAGATTTATTTATTTGTTAGTACGAAACTAATTTTTAATGCATTTGTTGTCCTGACGATTTTTTAATATTTTATAGGCTAGAATCTATCTACTTGATAAATGACGACGTGTCATTGAAACTAATAATGGCTATATAATTAATAAGATATAATTATCTATTAAAATATATATGTAAAATTAAAATGATACATAACTAATTCTAATATACATATATTCTGTTACAAAATATAATAATCTATCTTTACTTTATAATCATAGTATATATTAAAAATGAATAAATTAACTACTTGTAACATATTTAAAACAAAATACAATATATTTTGAAAAAAAAAAATAGAATAACAATCTGAAATATAATGTTATATAATCGAACATGTAAAATAAGTTATAATTTTAAATTGGTAAAAAAAAAAGAAACGGGGCTCTAAAAGTAATTCATACGGCACTGATTAAAGCCAGGATATTACCAACACACACAAAGAAAGGTAAGCACGTTTGTGTTACGCTCGAGGCGGCAGGCAGATGGAAATGGTGGTAGCCAGTGGAATATTCCATCGGTGCTTTTGACGAGGAGGACAGGGGGTAAAGGGGTGGGGTGAAGAGAGGTTGTGGTTCGAAAGAGGAAAAGAGAAAGAGAAAAAGAGGGAAGGGGACTGCGTATGCTGTGAACGAATGAGAGAGAAAGAGAAAAAGAAAGAGAAAGAGAGAGAGAGAGAATCGAATATAAGGAACAAGAGGGTTAGAAGCAAGATGTGAAAAATAAAATGTGCAAGAGCCACTCGATGAGAAAACCCGTTACATTGGCCTTTTCTCAATGGGAGATAAAAAAAAGAAAAGAAAAAAAATTTGAACGTCAGATTTGAAAACATGCAACTATTAGATTTGAAATCAGATAATATAGTTCATTATTAGAGTAATATATCGATTATATTTTAACAGACGTTGAATATATAGAATACAAATTTTACAAGTAACGATTCTCTTTATTATTCATAAACCAATATGGAAGTTGAAAAATGGATGAATTGTATAATTTCTACCAAAAGAAAACAACCATGAAAATAGGCTTAAAGTAGTAAAACGTTCGATAGGATGATTCGTCGTATTATTTCATTTTCTAACCAGTAATTTAAGATCTTTTAACTACATGATGTAGCATTGAAAAAAAGTATCTCGTAACGCGATGATATAAGAATTAATAATAAACTCGTGTTAATTGAGGAAAAATATATATACTATTTAGAAATGAATATATTTATAAATTCTATACTTATGAATATCTGTTTCGAGATTGAAAGAATTCGCGGGTGAGATAAGCAGCAAATTTTTGTTCGTAGTACAATAGTACATATACCTAATACACCAACCACTGCGAGATCGAATCATATATATATATATATATATATATTGGAAACAAATACTGATATAAATAAATAAATACTTACCCACAGTAGAGAGTTGTTGTATTTCATTCATTTTAAGTATAACGCTGGTACCCGCCATTTGTTGTTGATGAGTTTGCTGTTGCTGTTGTTGTTGTTGCTGCGGTTGTTGCTGTTGCTGCTGCTGTTGTTGTTGCTGCGGTTGTTGCTGAGCTTGCATGATGGCCAGCATGAAGACGCGAGGTTTATAAGTAGAGAGCAAAGAAACAGATGACGATCTCGATCGTGATATATATTGATCGGAATATAAATGATATATATATATATATTTTTTTTTGCGATAATATCCAATCGAATAATTGTTCTTAACGTCCCGTTAAATTAATAGATTTAATTAGAATCGTTAGGGAGTATCGCGATTATATCACACCAATTGAAATGAATTTTTATTAACGTGTATCCTGGTATGATGAGCTTTCCGAGCTATCCGCCATGATGGATCTCGTGTCTCTCACCAGCAGCAATGGATTCTCGGTTCCGTGATCGAGCCTACGAATATGGGAGAAAGAGAGGAAAGGAAAGACAGAGAAAAAGAGAGAGGGAGAAAGAGGAAGAGGGAAATATGGTTCGAAAGTTACGAAAAAATTCGAACGAACACACACTCTCTAAAACACGCAACCCCTCCTATACTCCTAAAATATTTTTCTTCCCGTTTTTAAACCGAGTTTAATTCCTTCTTATGCGTTACAATAACGTTCGATGCGTTCTATTTATCTGATTTCTCACTTGCGCAGTAAAGAACACAATATTACAGACCGAATGGAAAGCCAATCGATGCACCCACGGTCTCTGCCTTCGAGAATCCTACTAGAGTAGTTTCTACCCGGGAAAATTTGAATTTTAGAGATTGAACGCGTTATTAGAATCTTTCTTTCTTTCATTGATCTTCTTACAAATTTTTTTTCTCTTGTTTGTTATATATTTTATTTTTTATACGAATTAAATCATCTGTTAGATTTAATTTGTATAATTGTGTTCGTGTATATTATACTTAACTCAAAGTATATTTTTTTTTAATCCTATTTAATGTTATCACTTTAAAATTATTTCATTTCAAGGTCATTTCAAAGTTAATCATATTTAAAAACAAAAAATATGATTCGAAAAAATATGAAAAATACGAAAAAAGTCACACGTATAAAAAAAAAAAGAACAAATTATTTTTATTCGAAATAATTTCCTCGTTTCGGAGGAAGGGGGTGCAGTAAAAAGAAATTGAGTTATAAAAAGTTAATTTCTTTTTTAAAAATTGTATTTCTCGAAACGATATTTCTAACATGGTAATTATCTTATCGCAATGATAATAAATATAACCCAAAGTTAATATATATATATATATATATATATATTTCAGAAATATAAAAAAAATTTGTAGAAAAATAAATAAAAAAGAAAAAAAAATATACAAAATAATTCGTTCAATGTTCATGCGCAAGCGTCCATTGTACTTTAAAGTCAATCCCTATGGTAGCGCTTTAGCGTCAAAAAAGTGAATTAAACTCAATGTCATTTCCCATTCCATTGTCGCAATGCGGATTACGAGTTCTTTTCCTATCTTGTGAAGCTTGTCCCCACGAAGATCTATGGTGGTGTGTTCAGTTTTGACCTTCCTTCATTTCCTTTGCGAGTACATAATGGCTAACACGAAAGAACGTACCTTTATCATGATTAAACCCGACGGAGTCCAACGTGGACTCGTCGGGAAAATCATTCAACGTTTCGAGGAAAAGGGCTTCAAATTAGTTGCCCTTAACATGGTTTGGGTAAGTTTAATTGCATTTGTGTGGTACCTTTAATTATATCGAAAGCGCAGACTCCGTTATCATGTCCTCCTCCACGTGGACACCCGGCTATTTTACACGATGAATTCTTTTCTATTATCTAGATTTATCTATTAGAAATAATTAATATTTTCTTCGTAACAAGAAAGAATAATTAATAATAGAGATATTTTTATATTTTTTGGGGTGGGACGGGGATATTAAAATCAAACCAAAAGTTGATCTACCCTTGTCAATGTCATTGTTCTCAATTGCATGATTGAAGTAACAATACGGTGTCAATACTTGCCAACTTTTGATATATCTTATGAATTCAAATATATCATATAAGTTAGATAATTGATTAGATGATTATTTATTTTTTTTTTCTTTCCTTTTATAATTAACAGCCTACCGAAGAACTATTACAAAAGCATTATGCTGATTTATCCGCTAAACCATTCTTCCCTGGTCTTGTTAAATATATGAGCTCTGGACCAGTTGTACCTATGGTAAATAATTCATATTAAATTTATTAATAATATAATATATCATTGTGAGATATAATATTTAAATTTTTGATAAATATTACTTTTTAAGGTATGGGAAGGTTTAAATGCTGTCAAAACTGGACGAGTAATGCTCGGAGAAACAGATCCTAAGAATTCTGCACCGGGCACTATTCGTGGCGACTTTTGTCTTCAGGTTGGTCGTAATATAATTCATGGTTCTGATTCGGTTGAATCTGCGGAAAAAGAAATCAAATTGTGGTTCGGAGAAAAGGAAAAATCTAGCCTAACAGATTGGGCATCGTGGGCTGAAAAATGGATTTATGAATAAACAGCCAGAAGGTAATAATATTTTAACAAAAGGGAATCAATTTTTCTGAATTAATATATATATATATATAATTAATATAGCATGTTTTGAACGCTTTGAAGTTACTTGACTCATAACTGTGTGTTTTATTAAGAAAACAATTGTATATAAATAATTGGAACAGTCTTTGCAAGACACATTCAATAATAAAGATAATAATCTTGCATGGCGTTGATATAAAAGTATGTTATAGAACTTTTACAGTCATTTTTTTGTTGATTCTTTTAAAAATATATACGGTAAATATGTTTATGTATTTATTTTGTTTCCCCTATTCTATCATAGGTAACATTTATTACACACTGCCGTTATTAAACAAGCAAACAAATTGTGTCCTGCAATTCCATAAAGAATCTTACAAGCCAGAACGAGAAAAAGGAGTCCTTCTTCTATCATTTATACAAGTACTTTTGATAGCACGAAAGAGACTCGTAAGGAATAATTATCTGATCTATAAATCATGTGTTTAATCATTGTTAATCATTGTTAATCAATGGGTAATAGAGGAATTTGTATTTTTAAAAATACAAATTTAGCCACGGAAAATAATTTTATATATCGACAATACTCTTTTTATATGTTTATATATGTATAATATGTATATACATATATAAATGTATGTATATTTATCGTATCGAAATAATAAAGAAAATATACAAACAGAAAAAGAATCTTTTTAACATTTCATTGTAGAAAACAATTGTGCGTGTGCGTTTAATAATATTAAATAAATTTTTTCTTTTTTTTTTATTATTATCGATATATTATAACAAAATATTATTTTTAATCGTTAAAACACAATATCGTAAAATCAAATACAATTTGGTTGGTATACATTATAAGTAAAAAAAAGAAAAATGTATTTATTCATTTATATATATATATAAATATATATGAAATTCTATCAATGGAAATCCTATTCGTAATGAATTATATTTTCAAATTGTGTTGTTTCTAGATAAGATATTTTCCGAAAGGATATTTCTTACTTGGTCCGTTCGAAGACACAATGTTCTTCATAATTAATAAAGAAAAAAGATAAACGTATCGCTTTATTTAGCTTGAATTTGTTTTCCTTCAAGTCAACAACGTATTTAAATGCAATTATTTATCGATGAAGAGATAAAATCAAATACGTTCTCGATTAAAAAAAGAAAAAAAAAAACTGAATATGTTAATAAACAAAAGAATGAACGTAAAGTAGTATGCCATGTATTAGTGTAATGGCAAAGTGAATCAATTAGAAGATTCTCCGAGGAAAACTCCACAAGATGGACAATAATGTTTCTTCACTAAACAAGTATCCATACAATAAGGGACGCATACGCAGGGCCAGCATCTGAAATATGAAAAAAAAAAAATAGAAACAAATATTGTAGAATATTTTTCTAACACATAAGATATATATTATTTTATAAAACAAATTTTTGTAATAATAATTATAAAAAAGATTGAAATAATTTTACCCGACAAGGCATAGCAACAAAGCGAATAAATGCGTCTTTGTGTTGGATTCTGTGTCCACGCGAGTTGATATATTTTGTCTACAATGTGGACATGTCATTACTCTTGATTCTGACCCAAAAGCCTCACTTGTCACGATTATCACATCTGTAATATAAAAAATAATATAATTAGTGTTTTTAATTATTTATTTATATATATTGAATATTTAAAAAGAAAAATTATATGTACTTTGATGGGGTGGTGGTGGTGATGGTCCACCTGCGTAAGGAGGGGGTGGAGATGAACCACCTGGTGGAACAAAACCAGGTTGTGGTGGTCCACTTTTTTCCATATCGATTTAGTTTTTGTATCGATCAAGATCTGCAAGAAACAAAAAAAAAGAAAAAATTTTATATAAACGAAATTAGAAATGTCAGATAGATCTAATTGAACTTTGTTCGCGACATGTGGTGTTTTTTTTTGATTTTATTTCCACGATTTTTCATATCGATTTACACGCGAATGAGATATATAATAACGATATACGGTACTTAAGAAAATATATTAAATGTAATTCAATATAATTTATAGGAATATTGCGACGTTGCTTGTAAATAATTATTTAACGTTTTATTTTATATATCGTGTATTTTATAACGATAAAATATTTTTTATCCAGGATCAAGCATCTCGAATGTCTCTTGTTAAATTATTTTCCAATATATCACGTATGCGTTTATTCATCCTTGGAAAATAAGGAAATTAAATTTCCATTATATGATGATTAATCAATAATTGCATTTATTATTCTTTTCATTTTTTTTTTTTTTTTTTAAAATTACTTTAGTTAATTAAGTGACGTAATGTATTACGTATATTAAAAGAAAAATAATAATATCTTTCTATTGAGAGAGAGAAAGAGAGAGAGAGAGAGAGATAGAGATAGAAATGAAAAGAAAAAAATATTCTCGAATTAATCTTGAAATTTTTTTTCTCTCTTATCTCTAGTTTTTTTTTTTAATAATAATCGTGAGTTATACAACGATGATAAGTGATAAGATAAACAGCTTGTATACCATCATTGTCATCATTATCATCATCAATTTATTATCTTTATCTTCGATCGATTTTTCGCCACGATGAAAAATTAATAATTCTCGAAACGGCCACCAGAGGTCGAAAATTTCAAAAAAAAAATATATATATCGATTGTATTAGATATATTTTATTAATTAAATATTTACTATGATGTGTATTTTTAACGTTCTATTCGTAATATCTTCATTTTTATTTTCTTCACAAATGTATGATTGATCGAAAAATTGTGAAAAAATTTAACAGAAAAAAAACGATCTGTTTACTCGTATTTATCGGCAAACGGGCAACAACCAATGAACGTTTTAATTGAAGTCCCGCGCAAATTTAAATTGTGGAAAATTGATTTTTTGTTTGCAGTATAATAATAAAATTAAAGTACATTTCACATCGTGTGTGACTCATTTTTACATTAGTGTATATTTACCGTTGATAAAAACCCCGAGTTCGCGTGTACTTATCACGAATATCGTATTAAATTTTTTTTTTTTTCTTTGTATTTAGCGGTTAGAATATACATCCTCGAGTTTTCGTGTATGTATGGATGTATGTATCTAGTATCACATATCAATATTATTAAAACGATAATATCATCGAGCTGCGGCCTTCGAGTTTTTCATTCGATCGATCGAAATATTTAGTTGAAAGGTATAACGAACGAAAGAAAATATTTTGTACGATTTTGGAAAATTTTTTCTACGATTTTTTGAATCTCTTAGTTTGTTATAAAAATTAATACGATTTTCGTTAAATATTATTTCTAATTCATTTTATTCACACACACACAAAAATATATATATATATATATTTTTAACGTAAAATTGTCACGACATAAAAAAAAAATTAAAAACAAAATAAAGAAAGAAGTAAAACGTATTAAGAAAAAAATTCGAAATAATCTAAGATTCTAAATAATAAATTAATCATTCGCTGATATATCATTTTTTAATTTCAATCAATATTGATTATAATTTTTTTCTCTCGCGTTCAGAACACTAATGCATTATCTTCGAATGACGTTCGTTTGACATAATCATATGATTGTTTAATAGGAATCGAATACATTTTCTTCTAATGTATTTTTAAGAAATAATATATATGAGTCATAACCAAAGAAGGAAAAAACTTATCGATAACGCACCTCTCTTCCTTCTTATCGTTCGATGAATCTCGACTAATTTCACAATCATATTTCAAATTGCAAATGAATTATACGTTATAAAATATATTATATTAATATAAATATATAACTATACGTAATGTATTACAACACGATACATATATATATTATTAAATATCATACAACTATATTTTAATTATGTAACATTGAACCACAATGAAATATAAAACAAAAGATATTGAATGTTTTGGGTGTGTGAGGCTTTTTTTCAAGGAAAATTTTACGATCGGCTATGATCGGCTTATCTTCGTGAAAATTCGTATTATTTATAAATGGTTACGTTCATAAATACCTGTTGTACTTGATACCGATGTGAATATTTGGCAGTATACTCTATCTATTTTTATTTTTATTTCTTTATTTTATAGATCTTATATATATATATATATATATTCAATTATTTAAAATAAAAATCTTATTATTATTATATATATATATAATTAATTTTTTCTTAATTGTATAATTGAAACGTTTAAGAATTATTACGGTATCACTATTCGTTACTTTATAAAATTCACGGAACGATCTAACGAAACATCGATACTCCGTCACCTCTTAGTGTTAACTGAACTTCTACGTGATCATTTCACGGATATGTACCGAATGAAACAGGCCTGTAGTAGTTGGTAGTAAATGAGAAAGAGAGAGAGAGAGAGAGAGAGAGAGAGAGAGAGAGAGAGAGAATGGGTTTCTACGAAACGTCACTGATACGCCAAGAAGTTCTAAAAACATTTTCTTTATCGAAACACGCGTGAATATCGATCCAAGATCTTTTTATACCTGTTTGCTTGAACTTACGCACGTGTGTATGTTTTCCGTGCGCGAGCGCGTACACATACACGCATACACACATTTTAATAATAGATATTCATTTTCGTTGTTTGTTATTTAAAACATTTTTCTGTATTGTTTTGTAGAATAGAAAAAAAATAGTATCACCTGTATATTATATCTGTATAAATTTCATAATTTGTTAATATAATTTAATCGTTGGTAAATGTATTGTTTTATTTCATAATTAAAAATTAGTAACTATTAATTAGAAGAGTTACAATTATTAGAATATAATCATATAACAATACTATATACTTTGGTATTGCATATTTTAGTAAATATATATATGAATCATTAAATGCTCGGAAAGATTAGATGACGTTTCTATGAGATGCTTCCGCTTTGATAAATCTTTTTTTTTTTTTGTTTATTCTTTTTTTTATTTTTTTAGATAAACAAACCGCAAGTAATTTTTCTTTACTTTAGAATCTTTTATCTATATTATATGTGTTTTTTTTTTTTATTTAATGTTTTTTTTAATTTATATACTTAACACGGTTTTGTAATCATCTTTCCAAGATTCAAATGAAATTTAAAGAAATTGTTTGAATAATTTCTTATATAAATAACCATATAATATATAACATATAATATATATTTCTATGCAAACACAACAATAGAATGTGTTGAATGTGTTTTTAAACACCCGTCGAAATATTAAATTAGAATTTTGACTACGATTCGTAACGATATTACGTGACATTATTGTATTTTAATTTAAAAATAGAATGAAAAAGAATAATGTTATCTATATCTATATATATACACATGACTTTTAATTGGCAAGTATTATAAATACATCTTTTACAAAATGTCTTTATATCTTATTTCCTTTTATCGATATTAATCCCACGCACTTAAAAAAAAAAAAAAACACTCCTCCAATCAATCTTCTTAATTAAATATTTTTAGACTAAAAAAAAAAAAATGCAATTATTTTAAATATCTTTTATTAAAATGATGCGTGCGAATACTCAAATAATAATCTATATATTATAAAACACAATTTTGTTTGTTTTTTTTTTTTTTTTTTAATGTAATAATAATTTTGTATACAAATTATTTGTCATTTTTCAACATAAAGTAAGTAAACTTAATTTAAGGAGTTAATTAATCGAATAATTTTTTGTGACTCGTCATTTGTTTTTATTTCTTTCATTTAAAAAAAAAAATCTTATTTTAAGAGTATAATGAAAAATATTAGAAATAAAAATTAATTTATACATGCAATGGGGGGTTCTGAAAGAATTTCTAAACAATTATAAAAACAAATACGGATAGATTAGAATTTTTTCGAAATTTTTTTAGAGACTAATTTTCCCTGCCCTCCCCCCACTGTAATTTTAGGCTAGATTCGTGGACAAAAAAAATTAGAGTCTAAAGAAATGAATAGTTTAAAGTATTTAATTATTTTTCTATTGTGGATTATATCATTGGAAGGTTTCGCTTGAAGGATGTTCTTATCTTTTATTTCTTTTATCTTTTTTGTTTTTTTTTTCGTTTTTTTTTCTTTTTTATTGAAAAAAATTCGCATCAAGCACATTTTTACGTGTATTTTATGTATGTTTTTTACTATTACAAAATTCGAGATACAACTGTTGTAACACGTCGGTAATAATTATTATTACTTTTGTTTCTTTTTCTTTCATTATTGTACTACAAAAACCGAATACTCTTAGTATTCTAATATATACGAATCGTTAAATGTAAAAAAAAAAAAAAACAAAAAGAGTATTTCTGGTTTGTCGTAGGATCATTACATTAATGTTTCTAATTTTACATGATTTTACGATGATACAATTTTAATATGTTCTTTCTTGTCTATATATTATATATTTATTTGTATATATATATATATAGCCTATTAAATTCTTTGGCTAATACTTTAACAGTTCGAATAATAAACGCGCTATAAACGTAACGACTTAAAAATCTTATATTGGAAAACAATAACGTTTCAATTTATTTTTATTTACCCTTTTTAATTTTTTCCCAATTTTTTCTTTTATTTATAAATGTCCTGTCCTCCCAATCGAAATACTATCACATCCAATTCAAAAAACGAGCCTTTAATATTTTTTATTCAAATTTTTGGTCAAACCAATTATTTTATTCTCATATTTTAAGTAAATAATTATATATATATATACTATTATAGTAATAATATATTTAAATGCGTTCATTTAAATATATACTTAAATTAAGTTCACGTAGTATATTTGTGTAATCGTCAAATCATATATAATATATATATATATATATATTATTCATCAATCGTTTGTTAAATAATTATCTTACATCATAAATACCCTTTTTTTTCTTTTTTTTTTCTTTTCATTTATAATCTGGCAAACGAAGATAAAGCGTGATAAAAAAAAAAGAACATGATATTAATAATAATTATTTATTATTATTATTATAAAAATAATAAAAATAAAATAATAAACGTACTAGGAATGAACTAAAGTTTATCTTGCAATGTATTACATTGTCAGCATAATGTCTCTAACAACTTTGATATAAATCATGTGTGAAAATAATAAATATGAACGTATACCCAATGTATGTGAATAAATTATATTACAACATAAGATTAAATCACACGCGGGCGAATCCTTGCACATCTATACGTACGTACACATACTTTTTTTTTTTTATTATTCATACACATAACAAATATTTATATATGTATATATATATATATATATAACGATAAAAGTCTAATGCAATTCGATATGCACACAGTCGGCAGTATTGAATCAACGATTTCTCTTTTGCCTTGATTTAACAAAAAAAAAGAAAAAAGAATATATGTATGTATATATATATAGATATATAAATAAATATATAAATGTGTACATATTTATATTTATTTATTAATCAAGTTTTATGGAATGATTTATCCTAATAAATGGAACGTCAAATATAGCAAAATTACTTGATCTAACAAGTCCAAACAATACCAAAACAATAAATAAATAATAATAATAATAATAATAATAATAATAATCATACGAAGAGAAGAATAATAATAATACTTTATAACACAAAATAACGTATTTAGTATATCCTTAACAAACAAATAGAAAACCGTTTAGAAGAGAAAAAAAAGATTTTTGTTATTTTCAAATTTATATTAAACGTTTAAAAGGAAACGGGATATATTTGAAATAATCACATGTTAGATGAAATTGATTAAAAAAAGATCTTAAACGATCTTTACCAACATTCATACTTATATATTCTTCAACGTTATTGATGAATTGTGATCGTTCACGATGTACCACCACTACTACCACCACCACAACTACCACCACTATTGGACGCAGTTGATTGTTTCGATTTCAATTTGCGTCCTAGCAATCTGCGGAAGGAAGATGTCCACTTGGAACGGGTAAATCCTCCTCCTCCTCCCGACGTACCCTGATCATCCGGCTCGCTACTGCTGAAGGATTCGCTGATTTTTCTGCTCTTGCTACCGGTGCTACTGCTGGCACTGCTGCAACCATTTTCGAAACACCGTGATCTGCGGTCTCCGATTTCCGAGGAGAACCTAGAAACGGTCCGCTAGTTTTTTAACCATCTACTTTGTGTTTGTGTAGGTCTTCAATGAAATAATTATGATAGGAGAAGTATTGGGTTATATAATAAATACCCTGAATCCGAAGAAAATGCTCGATTATTGGGTGGTACATTTGAATTAGCTGATGACAATGACATCTCAGCAACTAGGGTACTTGGATAGGCCTCATCATCTGAAGCACTGTTACTACTGCTGTTACTTGTAGTACTACTACTGGTAGTCATTTCGGTACTACCATTGGTACTAACACCACCGCTACTATCAACACTTGAGTCATCGATGTAGGCAATTTCTCGTTCAGCCAAAGGTGAACTTGTTCGAGGTGTACGCGACGAACCACCACCAGTGCATGCTGAACCAGCAGTACACGTTGCACTTGGTCGTAACCAAGTACGCAAATCTTGTAAGGGCGCTTGAAGGCACTTGAAGAGATTACCACTGAAATAATAATCAATAAATATATTATCAAATAATAAGATATTTCATTTAGAATAAAAACAGTAACATATCAATTGTTAAATAAATCAAACTTACTCGTCCTGATAATCGTCTACCTCAGCGAACGTACGTTGAGCGTAAAGACAAATGGAACATCTTCTACGACGACGGCAAGATGTGGCATGAAGTGTTGCTGCTCTTAGATGTCTTGCAGCATGCCTCAACGTTATTGTTTCTCTCGTAAGCGCTGCTACTCCTTCCTCTCGTCGACGTCTTTCTATACCTAATTCGTCCTCGCCCAAACGTAACTTCTCTTTCAACGTTTTGTTCTATTAACAAACAAACAAAATTCATATTTCTTATTGGGTATCCTATAAAGTATACTTTTTATTTTTGAATATAATAACAATATTTTATTATATTTTACTTTAAAAATATAATAAAATTAATAAGTTAATATAATAAGTATAATATAATAAAAAATAATATTTTACTTTAAATATATAATAAAATTAATAAGTTAATATAATAAGTTTAATATAATAAGNTTAATATAATAAGTATAATATAATAAAAAATAATATTTTACTTTAAATATATAATAAAATTAATAAGTTAATATAATAAGTTTAATATAATAAGCATAATATAATAAAAAATATTTTATTATATTTTACTTATTTTTGAATATAATAAAAATATTTCATTATATTTTACTTTCCTACTGCATAAGCAGATTACGTTTTACTGATAAAATTTATCTCTATTTTTTGATATGTTAAAATGGTTCCTTTTTTTTTTGTATTGCTAATATACTTCTTTAACTCCTTGTCCTATCCGATAACTCCCGATTGCTCAATCAATAATAATAATTATTATTATAATAATTATAGGTAACTAAAGTAAGAAAATAACTGAATCACGAGTCAGGTTCGTCGCATATCTCTTTCGACTCAAATTTCTTACCATGAATCTTACTCATTGTTGTAGAACAAGGGGCTAAGTATAATAATAATTAACTCTTTGAGTGCTGAATACCGTATGAACAGAATACTATTTTTGATAATTGAATAACAGAAAAAACATAAAAAGAAGAATCTCAAGCACGAGGGAGGAAGACAAAATTGATAAACGCATATATGCGTCCATAGCACGTAAAAGGTTAACAGATTTCTACTATATCGACAGATTATATTCTTCAATTTATCACTTTTTCATTCTTGTGATTAATTTTGTAGAATATTTTTTGTTTTGAATGATCCGAAAAATAACAAGGAAAATATTGAAATACTAATTAACACTAAACCTACAGACATTTTATAGATATTTATTCCTACCGTAAACGGTCAAATAACTGCTTTAAAAAGAACATATATTTTTCTATAGAATTAGATTTTAGTCCCACACAATTGAGATAGTGAACAATATACCTTATTTCATTTAGAAATGAATAATGTACATTGTATGCGTTTCCAACGAAATTTTTAGAAATTACAGGTCATTTGACCGTACGTGGAAGTTTTGAATCATCTTCAATTGTTCTTACTTCTTTCTCTTCAGTTGGGCGCATATATGCGCCCATAGCACAGAAAGGGTTAACAGATTCCTACTATACCGACATATTATATTCTTCAGTTTCACTTTTTCATTCTTGTGTGATTAATTTCGTAGAATATTTGTTTTGTGAATGACACGAAAAATAATAAAAAAAAAAATATTGAAATACTAATTAGTTTTGAATCTTCCTATGAATTGTTCTTACTTCTTTCTCGAGTGCATCTCGTTCAGCTCGAATGACGGTGGCCTGTCTTATGACTTCCTGCCGTGCCCGTTCGAGTGATTGTCTGGTTGCTTCGTTTTGTGCAAGCTGAAGTTGCAATCTTTTTAAAGCAATTTCGCGCTGTTGATCCAAACGATCGCGAGCTGCTATATAGTTGTCACGCTCCACCTTCGCACGTTCGACTTCTTCCTCCAATCGAAGTGTTCGTTCCAGTTGTAAGAAGAGATCGTCCTCTTTACCTCTTAATTCGGATTCGCAATCCTCTAATCTCATCTCCAAAAAACGACGTGCCTTTTCCAATTTATCTCTTTCAGCCTATAAATAAACAAACAAACAAACAATTTCATTAAACGTTTCATTGATTTATTCTTAATAATAATCAATTTATTTTGTAGACTAATTTTAAACGGATACTTTGAAGACAACGATTATAAAAAGCATCATAGCTTTTGGAATTTGACTGATTTAAATCCTGAATAATATTTGTACTTGTTTAAATTGAATAATCCCTGCAGCTTTGAATGTTTTTAATAGCAATTTTATGAACAGAATAACTAACTTGGCTAGAAAGTAAAATACTATTAGAAACATACAATTTATTAGTTTCATGAAACGTTTCATTGATTTATTATTACTAATAATCAATTTATTTTTCATACAAATTAACGGATACTTATACCAACAATTATAAAAAGCATCATAGGTATTTGGAACTTGACTGATTTAAATCCTGAATAATATTTTTACTTGTTTAAATTATAACAGTAGAAAATTGAAATAAGTAAAATTGAATAAGGCTAAGGGTCACGTGGGGTAAAATCTGGTAGAAAGGCCTGAGTGGGAATCACTCCCACTACACGTTAATTGGTCTATAAATCACCCCAAAATTCAGTCTTAGCAAGAGTTCAGGACCATTTTTCAGTAAGTTAAGTTGTTCATCAGTAAATTCAATACTAAACTAGTTTTATCAATCTAACAGTAAAAGTCCAGTTCTGATTTCAGTTTGGAAATAATAAAGGATTTAATCAAATCATTTAAAGTCAACTACCAGTCCCCAAAGTGTTGCATAAGCCGTCAGGTATTGAATAAAATTTTGTAAATTGGAGTATCCATAATTTCTGTATCATTTAGAATTACTCGAACTTACATTCCAATAGTAACAAGTTCTTCCTTACTCAGAAAATAACTCGTTAGTTCGATAATCCAAATTATTGTCAATCAAATAATTTCGGTATTTGTCAAGCATTCTGAAAAGTAACTAATTGTAATCCTACAATAATCTGTAACAAACTTATATTCAATTGATTGATAAATAAGTCCGTATTTCTGCCATAAAATGATTGAGAAAGTGAATTGGAGCCTGTATCAAAATTTATTTAATTGTAAATAAGATCTGCCACACGTATTGGGCCTCCCTCGGTCCCATGTCAAATCTTAACATTAAGATTGACCAAAACAGTGGGAAAAGCATAGTTTTGGTCATAGTAAAGGGACGGGAATAACCGTCAATTGATTCAATAATCAATAAAATTACAAATTTCCATTCTTATAATACATTTCCCTGACCTCAACAGTGGAACATAATAATATATATATTTATATCAATATTTATTATATATTTAATTATATATTTTATATATTATCATATATATTTTATATTATTATTATATATATTTTATATTAAATCATATTTAAACAACTTGATAAAATATATTTTAAGTTGCTTAAATGATTTAATCTGTTTTTCTTAGGAGCCATTTTTATAAGACAATAAGAACCGCTATTCAAAGGAATATATACAGCTAAGTTAATCTTTCATTATACGAATAACCTTGTTTATCTGTAATTGACGGTCACAAGAGACCTACGCACGCATCTTTAAGATACTCTCTACAGTAATCGAGAATGGTACAGACGTATTTCCTTCTCTTCCTTTTCCCCCTTCATTCTTTCTTCATTTCTTTCTTTCTCGAGTTTGACGCAATCAATGTCTAGCTTTATGCAGTTGATTGTAGGTCAGTTAGGTGCATGCGCAAGCAGGCTAAGGTCGACGATCTTTATTGTTGCAACTAAAAGGGGATTGTTATAATTTACAAAATATTAAATAATTATGTAAATTAAAAAGAAAAAAAAAGAAAAAGAATAGAACAAGAAATTTTTTGGTATGAATTTGTAAATTAATTATTACATTATTAGTAGACAGCAATGATACTTAAATATAATTTAACAAAAGAAAACTCTGTTCTGAATTTGTAATTAAATTTAAATCAAATTTTAATTAATTATACGATTAAAAATTTTTTCTAATGGATTTAATTAAATGCAAGATACATTTATTAAATTATAACACCCTATATAAATTTAATTTTACGTTAAATCTATAAAAAAGAAAAAGAAAGAAAAAAAAGGTAAAATAATTATTTACAAAACTTGACGTTGATTTAAATAAAGAGTGAACATTTTATGCACCATCATCAAAGAGTCATTTTTTTCTTTTCTTTTTGTAAATCGGCTCTTCACCGTGTATAAAAATAATATTATAAAGAATATCTAATAGAATGCAACAAAATTTGATTATAAAATTAGAATAACTAAATAAATCAGTGAATAGTAAAAAAGAACAAGAAGAAGAAAAGCAACATTAGAGAATATTTAACAAAATGCAACAAAATTTGATTATAAAATAGGAATAACTAAAGAAATCAGTGAATAGTAAAAAAGAATAAGAAGAATAATAATAACATTAGAGAACATTTAACAAAATGCAACAAAATTTGATTATAAAATTGAAATAAGTAAAGAAATCAGTAAACAGTAAAAAAGAACAAGAAGAAAAGCAACATTAGAGAACATTTAACAAAATGGAACAAAATTTGATTATAAAATTAGAATAACTGGAGAAATCGGTGTAATAGAGAAGAAGAACAAGAAGAAGAAGAAAAAAAAGAAGAAGAAGAAGTTAGGAAAGCCAAAGAAAAGAGTTAAAATGATGGTGTCGAAGGAAGGGACGAACCAGTCTGGCAAGATGAAAAGTAGATTAAGGCGAGACCTCTCTTTCTCTTTCTCTCTTCATCTTTCTTATTTTCTTTTTCCCGTTCCTTCTTTCGTCTTATGTTTAGTTAGTGGACTGTAGAAAAGAGCATTCGTATGGCTTACACACCTCTTTTAGTTATATATCTTAAGGTTTGAGAATATAGGAAACACTTCTCATTGTAAACCCTGATACATACATAGGTATTATAATCTCTCATGAGAGAATATAAACCGTTACAAGGACACACCAATAAATAAAATCAAGAAAGAAAGAAAGAAAGAAGAATAATATATCTATTAATAACTAAGAACTTTCTTTTTGTATGTTAAAAAGGGCAATTCAT